CTAAACGACTTCACAAACGTTGTTGTCAAAACACGTGGTTCTCAACTCTTTGCACTTACCAACAGCGGCAGAAGTCGCAGATACTACGTATACTGCCACGCACCGAACACCCCAGTGTTAGGAACAAGGCGAATTTTTCGTTTATCAGCTTGACCAAGACCAAGAACACTGTTTCTGCTTCACAGGTTTTTGTTCGGAAAAATTAGAAATAAGTTTCAGGATTTAAGTCATTCAGTTCCTACATCGGAACAGCGGATGCGGTCTTTGGAATGAACGCCGGCTAAACGGGTGAATGAATAAACGAAGTGGAACTGAATGACTTAAATCCTGAAACTGCCCGTATGCATGGCGGGAAAATGACACAATCCCTCTTGACACCTGCTCCATGTTGTGTGGGACAGGTGGGTAAGCAGGGGAAGCTAGACTCCTTAGAAATTTTGAGAAGAAAAATCATGATGCCGTTTAATAAAGCAACACAAAAAGGTGATAAGTTTAAGTTTCTGATTCTAGATAGAGTTTCTGTCGGTGTTGGAAATGACTTTTAACGAGGGTTATTGTTACTCGCTGTGTTATAATTTTAAACATTTGCCGGATTAGAAAACTGTTTCCGTTGCAGCCTCTTACTGGCATTCCTAGCAGTGCTACAAGTATTCCCTGTTGGAGCGAACAAAGCAACAACAACATCAACTCGCTGATTGAGCTGATCTGTTCCTCTCCGCCGTGTCCTCTATCTTCTATCTGTCCATTTCCATTGCAGTTTGTCCTCCATTCAAGGATTCTTCACCCGGGTTATTACCTTTCCCTCCCCTCCCTCTGTCTTTTCAGCACTTCTCATCAACCGGTGCTGACTGCTAAAATTAGATTTGTGCGATGTAAAGTTTCAATGGTTTGCCGATTTTTAATAAAAATATCGACTGTTTTCTTCTTCAACTGATTAAAGGTGATGTTACACAAGACGATTCGCAACACAGCGTTGCGACATTGTTTCGAATGGTTCCAACGTTGTTCCAACATTACAATGCTGTGTTGCGCTAAAAATCGTCGTTGCGAATCGTCACGTGTAACACCACGATTCGCTTTTATCCTCGCTGAAGGGAAATTTCATTCGTCACGTGGGTTCATTTCAGTGATATTGGCAACGATTCGTTCTAGTCACAAGACTATAAAATAGTAGAGGATATACGTAGAAGGCCCATATAAATCTTCCGCAAAGTTAATTTCAAATTCGAAACACTTACTGGATGTATATATTCCAGATGAACTCTAATTAAGGTCCCAAAACAAACTGAAAAAAGTTTTTTTAGATCAAAAGTCTAAATTTTTCTTTTGTATTTTCAACAAGACTCGTGCTCAAAGTCACATTCTCTTAGAAAATACCTTTTTAATATTAATTTGCCGGAAAATACGCGTGAAACACTCGTAACTTAATCAGTATGTACTGCACACACGGTATCCTTGCCAATATTTAACTCGTCAATGACTCTTTGGGAAACTTTTTAAAATGTACATTAGTCAAAGTTCTAGTTTTTAACGTGTACATATGTACATGACAATGCTTGGCTAGGGAGATCGGTCAGAGATATAGGGCATGTTATGTCTGGCATTAACCTCCTAATAGTATTTATTTTCGGTCATTTCTAATTTATTTACAGGGGCATCCAACGACTGTTTTCTGTGAAATATCTGTTCGGAGATGCAGATGTTGCCTAGAATTTTCTGTCACTTGAGGACGGCTAAAAATTTCTAGATGACCGTTCCATTCGTGTACAATTTTCCCTACGATTTTCTAAAGTTTTTTTTTTCACATTTAATTCCTCAGGTTAGGTTATTTTTCGCAGAAAAAAGGAAACCTAACATTTTCGGATTCAAAAGTGTGATGGAGAGGAGAATTAGCAAAATTCTCACTTTCGTAATAAGTTAAACTGCATCTAAAATTTTCGTGAAAATAATACTGAAGCCCTTGTGATTTCGAAAAGATTCAAGTTCCCCTAGGATGACCGAACAGATACAAATTTTATAGCGCCGCTTAGAATGCATTTTTACAGATCTAAAGTTTCTCTGGATAGCCTAAAACGTTTTTTCAATGTATTTAGGAGGAACCGTCGTTGGGTGCCCCTGTATCTAGTCCAGTGGCGATCAACCAGAACGACATTCATCGCCAGCTATTTATCAGCCTGCTTTTATTTGATAACGTCCGACGAAGTATGAACAACAAGATAAACGACGAAACTTCAAATAGCAAATTAGCTTCGTATCCATGTATAGGGCTCAGTACCTAAGCACGTAGTACTGAATAAATGATATACATTTGAGATGTGATAATCTTTGGAGTATGAAACGTATTTACAATTAAGATCAATTAAGCATTTTTAAAACTACCAGTTTTTGGTAATCTTATGAGATACGAAAGAACAGAAATATATACCGTCCTGTGCCACACGAACTATTATGACAACGGTGTACTCAAAACACCGCTCTAATAAAAGACAATGTGCTTGCTCGCAGGCTAGATATCTCTTATAGCTTCTCATGGACGAACATATCGAACAGGTAAAATTTGGCGCCAAAAGAGTCCCTTTGCTTACATCTCTGGCATTTTTCACATTTTAAGTAAGGTAAGTTGTATTTATTTTCGGTCATTTCTAATTTATCTAGTCCAGTGGCGATCGACCAGAACGACATTCATCGCCGGCTATTTATCAACCTGCTTTTATTTGATAGCGTCCGACGAAGTATGAACAACAAGATAAACGAAGAAACTTCAGATGGCAAATTAGCTTCGTATCCATGTATGGGGCTCAGTACCTAAGCACGTAGTACTGAATAAATGATATACATTTGTGATGTGATAATCTTTGGAGTATGAAACGCATTTATAATTAAGATCAATTAAGCATTTCTAAAACTAAAAGTTTTTGGTAATCTTATGAGATACGAAAGAGCAGAAATATATACCGTCCTGTGCCACACGAACTATTATGGCAACGGTGTACTCAAAGCACCGCTCTAATAAAAGACAATGTGCTTGGTCGCATGCTAGATATCTCTTATAGCTTCTCATGGACGGACATATCGAACAGGTAAAATTTGGCGCCAAAAGAGTCCCCTTGTTTACATCTCTGGCATTTTTCACATTTTTTAAAAACTCAAACTTGTAACGTACACTTTAGAGACTTATGGAAAATGTTTTGAGTGCGTTCGATTGACCCTATTGTGAGACAGTACATTGAATAATAATCCTGAATATCTACTCGCTTCCAAACATTCTGCTTCATTTCCCTCGAGTCGCGGATGGCTCACACCGACAATACAACGTCCAAAGGAAAGGGAAAAGTTACTAAACAGATTACCATTGTGACAGAAGTCGTGGGAAAAATCCTAAGAATGGAAACACTCTGATGGTGTAACATTTTCAAATATCATGCAGACGTGCGCGTCATGATCGTTTAACTGAATATCGTTCCGCTGCGTGGGCCTTCGTACGGCATCGCTGCAATATCAGCGTTTGCGGTGGTTTGTATCGCCAGGGGCAATAAACTACAAAGTACATTCTAGACATGTATATTTCTCCTGCTGATAAGTGTCATAAATGATAGCTAAAGTAGCGCCAGAGGCTTTACAGTTTTTAGGAATAAAGATCGTCACAGAGGACATATCTAGATGCAAGGGATCTGACACAACCTGCCTATTTTGATACTAGTATAAAATTAGAAAATATATTGTGTGACATTAAGACGGCAGGTACTCCAAATTAATTTATGTTATGATCATTAGCAATTATCCGGGCAATTATCCCACTGCCGGCAAAAAGAAATGCCAACTGATCCTTAAACACTTGAGGCTTTGGTCCTGTGGCTCCCTTCTTGTCAACTATAGCTGACAAAAAAAGGATATAATGGTTTAAAATACATATTTTACAGACATGGTGCCGCGTGGAGTAAATGCAAGGCATGCTGGTTTTTCCTTAAAAGCAGGGCTTCGGAAGTCTAAATACTTCTGACCTTTCCCGAAAATTTTTTTATCCTGAGTGTGTTATGCAATATAGATGCAAAAAGCCATGTCAAACTTAGCTTACAGTCCGTCACCTTAACCACATGTAAAGTCTAAGTGAAGCGGTGACGCCCTTGTCGTAAACAATCATCGTTGAGATGTCTTGAGAAGGAAGGATGACCGGTTGTAAACGGATAAAGGCTATGGCACTTGCGCGGAAAGCCATAAAGTGAAATGAACCGCGTAAATTTAAGTTTGTTTTTAACGTAAAAATACTTGAAGATGACGTGAACTGCGGAAACACAAATTTTAAATGAAAATACTGATCGTCGCAGTGGACATTTGAAGGCCAACTTTACTATCTTCACTACAGTGTCGGTGCCCGGGTGTTTAATATTCCGTTTTTACACGTACTCAGTGTCAGTATGGCCTGCGCTTGTTTCAATGTTGCCGAACTCCATTGATCCCCACAGTTCTACTTAAGCACGACTTGGTGGTTTCAAGTCTACTCAAGTCTATTAAACCTCTGACAACCGGTTTTTGCTGGCAACGGAGTGGAAGCTGTAATGGTACTTGTTGATTCTATTCCAAAACAGTAACGATTAAAGCCAAATACTATCTCGACGAATCCCCAGTCAAGTTCCACGGGTAGCCCAAGCTCGTAATATGAGCATCGTGAACATCGGCATTGTTGCGTAACATTCGAAATAACCGAACATTATAGCGCGACATAATGTAATTTATATCGAGGCGTGTTGCGCACGTGATATTCCGCTGGGGTTGGCTTGTACCAGGCACGGATTCGATACTAGCATTAGTTTGGCCAATCAGGTTTAAGTAGGTCACATGCCTAGTATATGAAAGACAGTTCCAGCGAGATATTTTTCCTTCCTCCTCTTGCCATTAGATTGAACAGATCCCCAGAAAAACTTTTTCCAAGAGCGCTCCTTTTCAACTTTTTCAGGCAAGTACTCATTAGTTTCAATTTTTTATTTAGACATCGTTTTTTTATGGCACCACTACGAATTTTGATTCTCGGCCACTCCTTCATTCCCCGTCTACACGTTTTTCTTCGTCAAAATTTTAATGAGGTAATTGCCAGAAATTTGCATATCGATGGGGATCTTTCCATCAAATGGCATGGCATCGGGGGAAGAACTATTTCTAAAGTGATCCGACATGATTTAGGAATAGTAGAGGAATTTGCCCCAGAGATTGTCGTTATCCAGTTGGGTACCAATGATCCGTCTTCCCTTCCCGCTTTTGAAACTGGCTCAGCTCTCGAGGACTTATCTCGTTTGCTACATGAGTCATATGGTGTGCATAGGGTCTGTGTTTGCCAGACTATTTTTCGCAGTAATGCTCCTTTATTCAATCGCCAGGTTAAGTTATTAACAAAATATCTTAAAGTAGTTTTGGGGCCGATTCCTTATGTTCTTTGCTGGCGTCACAGGGGTTTTTGGAATTGTAAATCCCGTTTTTTAACACGCGATGGTGTCCACCTTAATCATTTTGGGCAGTATAAATTTTTCCGTAGCTTGAAAGGGGCAGTGTTGCAATGTTTGCGATCTCTTCAGGCTAGCGGGTAAAGTTGCTTTATTGGCTCGATTTGATCCAATTTAAGTTTTTTCTAGTAATCCACTTTGCATTTCCTTAGTTATCCAATTTGATCCAATTTAAATTCCTTTGGATAATGTGATCCAATTTGAGAAAGTGAGAATGTCATGCGATGGAATGGCTATACTTTTCCGCGAGGCCGACTGTCATACCAGGCCCACTGTTTCTTGCGGTCTCAACCGTGATAGTGCGGCTTTGGTGCCATTTACTTTGATGCTGTATGTGTTCAGCACCTCTGTCAAAGCATTTGTTGTTGACAGTAGATTTGTGTTCAAGTCGCGGTTGAAACAAACCGTGCATATTATGGCCTTCGCGCTGTTGTTTTGTGCTATCACTTTGCCTATTCAGTGTACAACCTACTGATCGCCCATTCACGGGTGTGTCCAATGCACTTGGCATTCTGTGATTTTGCACTTGTTTTATTTTTGGCCGATATTGCATTGTATTCTACGTCTCACTTTAAATTATCTTGGTTTTTTATATAATAACTCTAACCCTAGCCTTTAGAGGATTACTTTTCGTGCAGGTGCTCCTCTCAACAGCTATTTTATTCCGTTCTTCAGACAACAATGCTTGGCGGCTGAAGAAAAAACTGCCTTCGTTACTTTAATGGTCCCACATACTCCATAGTTGTCTGTTTGTATTTCTCATATTTCACTACCAATTTTATTCTGTATAAGAGATGCCTCCTAGCAAGCGTTCCTCCACTAAGACTTCGGCAGGTATCGTTCCTAGAGCAAAAAGGGGTCGCTCCTCCGCGGCGACGTCGGTGGCCATTTTCGACAGTGTCACACTACCAGCTAGCGACGCCACGTCGAGTTCGAACTCAGGCACCGTGTCGATTGATGTTGCTGCCCTGTCCGCCGCAGTGTCTGCCGTGGTAACAGAAGCCCTTAAGGCCACCCTCTCGTCCGAAACCTTGACTGGTATTTTAAAAACCACTGGACCACCTATCCCGTTGGAACCACTGGCCTTGGAATCTTCCAGCTCTGTGGGCGCCGCCGTAACTGCTGAGGTAGGTGATATTCTTCAGGACGGTCACGCCTCAGGTACAAACAGGGGAGGCGCTCCCACTATTTTAAACGACTCTCGGCCACAGAGCACCTTTACGAGCATCTCTGTGCCTCTTAGCTCTAGGGTTAGAGCTAAATTGAAAGCCAAAATCTTCGCGAACGAATATGTAGATTTTGGGGCTTTACTTTCTTCTTCCCCTAACAACGAAGGGAAATATTTACTTTCCATGGCCCCTTCAGAGGGGTCATCTAGTGGACCCCAAATCACCCTCGAACCGTTACAAAATGCGAAACGCATTCAGTCTATTCCGCAATGGGTCTCTGCCTTTAATATCTTGTTTCCGTTTATTCTGAGAAATTTACTGCAGAGACCCAAAGGTTAATGAAATACTGTGAAGTTGTAAGGGATTTAGCTCAAAAAGATAGGGGACTGGATTTGGTACGACGAACAGTTCCGCTATTTACGGCAAACCGGCCCGGAGAAATACCCCTGGGATCAAATTCACTGGGAGTTGTGGATACGAGCGTCCAGTAGTTTTCGCAAGACACAACCGCTCACCAACAAACAATTGCAACCGAACCGCTCTCGTTCTCGTTCGAAATTTTTCGCAAAAGGAACTTGTTGGGCCTTTCAAGCTGGAAAGCACTGCTCGGGATGCCAGTTCACCCATGAGTGTTTTAAGTGCGGAGCAAAACACCCAGGTAGTCAATGTTCCTCCCCGTCTGCACAAAACCGACCCAATTTCGGCTCTAAAGGCCCACGAGGAGGAACTCAAATACAGAGTCCTTCACAGCCCGCCGGTAACCCCGGTAAACGTGGAACGCCTTGAAATTTTGTTACACGGTTATAATCCTGCCTTAACACAATATCTTATCGAGGGTTTTAGTTTGGGTTTTCGCATCAATTTTGTTGGTGAACGGTGTGCCATGGATTCTCCTAACCTAAAAAGTGCTTTGGAGCGTCCCATAGTTACCTGTGCTAAGTTACAGAAGGAATGCGATGCGGGGAGGATAGTTGGCCCTTTTGCTACACTCCCCTTTTCGAATTTTCGCACCTCTCCCATAGGTCTTGTTCCAAAAAAAGATCCTTCCGAATTTCGCCTCATCCACCACTTATCCTATCCACAGGGCACCTCTGTGAATGACTTTATTCCAGACCGGAGATGCGACGAAGTCTATACAGCGATTAGGGAGAGGTTGTTTTATGGCCAAAACTGATGTGAAGTCTGCTTTTCGCATCATTACCATCCATCCCGCTGACTATCCCTTACTGGGCATACGCTGGAACAATATGTATTACTTCGACCGGGCTCTTGCCATGGGGTTGTCTAGTTCTTGTGCTATATTTGAATCCTTTAGCACCGCCCTTGAATGGGTATCCCTGAACCTTTTCGATGCTTCCGCAGTTTTACACATCTTGGACGATTTTCTGTTTATTGCCAAAACTAAAGAACAATGCGCACGTGATTTACAGAATTTTATTCTCATGTGTGATTATCTGGGTGTTCCCCTTGCGCCCGAAAAATCCGTCGGCCCTGACACAGTTTTACAGTTTGCGGGAATAACACTCGACTCCGTACTCTTTGAGGCCCGCTAACCCGAAGACAAGCTTGTAAAATGTCGCGTGATGTTACACAACTTTTATACGCGTCGTACAGTTACACTGAAAGAACTTCAGTCCGTAATAGGTTTATTGAATTTCACCTGCACTGTTGTCGCCCCGGGGCGCGCTTTTCTCCGCCGCTTGATTGATCTCACGAAAAGCATTCAAAAGCCCCATCACCATATTCGTCTAACGAAGGGTGCCAAATCGGACATCTTAATTTGGCTTCGTTTTTTGGAGGACTTTTATGGTAAATCATTTTTCTTTAATGAAATATGGGAAACCTCACACACCCTTCACCTTTATACTGATGCGGCGGGTTCATTTGGTTTCGGCGCGGTCTTTGGTTGTCATTGGCTACACGGTATTTGGTCCGAGATGTGGAAAACCTTCAACATAGCGTTTTTAGAACTTTTTCCCATTGTCCTTGCAGTTCATATTTGGGGGTCTCTTATGGCTAATAAGCGTATCATATTTTTCTCTGATAATGCAGCTGTTGTGGATATCGTAAATAAGCAGACATCTAGACATAAAGATATCATGGTGCTTTTAAGGGATTTAGTGTTAAGTTGTCTTAGGCACAATATCCTTTTTCAAGCACGTCATATCCCCGGATTACAAAACTCAAGCGCAGATTACCTTTCCCGTTCTCAGGTAGTGAACTTCAAGGACATCTTTCCGGAAGCTGAGGAATCTCCCACGCAGATACCCGAGAACCTAATGCCGAAGAATTGGGTGCTAACTTGAGAACTCTTTTAAGTTCCTCGTTAACAGCCGGCTCCAGGCGCTCGTATCAGCGTGCGTGGATTATTTTTCGCCAATTTTATCGCCAATTTTACGGTTCTGATGATCCTCCTTTACCGGTACCTACTACATGCCTCCCCTTATTCATCTCTTATCTCACATTTCGTAAATTGGCTCTTTCAACGATTACTTCATATCTTTCAGCCATTTCCTACGTACACAGGTTGAGGGGGCTCCATGACCCCACAAAATCGTTTTTAATTGTGCAATAATTACGTTAGTGATTCTTGCTAATTACGAATCGATCATGTGACATCGTTCAGCTTATCCAATAATCTCCCAGCTGCGTCTGTCGGTCAGTCATAAGCTCGTTGTCAAAGGGCAAGCACGCTAAGTCGCCCGCATCATGGCTCACGCAGATCCAGCCAGCGCTAGAAAGCGCACCACTCGAAAAACCAAATCGACCAGAGACGAAGACGCATTTCTTTATGATTTGAGTCTTCCAACCGTCCCTCTGTTTTCGGTGCTAGATCCAAAGTTGCCTCCAGATCCGGTAGAAAGCCACAAGTCGGGCACACCTTTGGGTGCTGCTCAAGCTCTTACTCCTCAGCAACTGCGCACCGGAGACCCAGCTTCGCCAGATTACTTGACCCAACGGATCTCTTTGGTTCAGGCAGAGCGCGAAAAGTTAGCTCTGGAATTAGAGCTTCTCCGCTTAAAAAGAGAACAGCCTTCATCAGCAACTTCACCAAGCGATTAGGGATCAATCGCTCCTACTTTCACCACCAGGAAAAAGCGCACTGTAGACTGGCCGCAAGATTTTACACCAGGTACGTCCACCAACCTTGATTACGACAAGCTAGAATTAGCAGAATTTGTCGCCGGGTATCTTGCCATGATAAAAACGTATGATCCTGCGGCCACCAAACTCATGCTCTGTCATCTAGAACTGCTTATGATTAAAGGAATCAGCTATACTTGGAGCAGTGTGCGCTCGTTTCACGCTCACATAGCTAAACAGGTAGAATTATATCGCCTGGAATGGTCCAACACCTCAGAAATTCGTGATCGTGCAAACACATTTTTCAAGCACTCGGATTTACGTCAATCACCACCTCCTCGCACGCTGCCCACGCCAGCCCTTACATCGCGTGGGAAACAGGACGCCGGTCAGGATAATCGGGGTTGTAAACCTTGGAATTATACTGGCAGTTGTACCCGTGAAAAGGAAAAGGAGATTTATTCTAGCCAGCACAAGTGCCGTGTTTGCCAACAGGATCACCCCATGCTTCACTGCCCCAAACGAAGGAATCCTATTCCTGCAACATTCTGACATAGCGTTCCACAGCCACTCCCTCTTTCCCCTGAAGCGACCTCGAACTTATCAATGGACAAGGATTTACAGGACACTCGCTCACGCACGGAAACTTCTTCTCATTGTTTTGTTTGTTCCACGGCTCCAGGCACTGATACATCTGCTATTATTCGTCACATCTTAGCCTCCCGTTCCGCTCAGCCCAACGCTTTCGCGGCCAAAATTCCAGTTCTCACAGCATCGAAAGTTCACATGTGGGCTCATCTTTTATGCCATTATGACGATAAGATCGTCGCGGAATTTTTAAAGTACGGATGGCCGATCAATTACAGCTCCCATCAATCGCCATTATCTACACCTCACAATCATCAATCGGCTTTGGCCTTTGCCGATCACGTTCGCCATTACATCAAAACAGAATTGTCCTTTGGGGCCATCGCTGGCCCTTTCTCGGTCAACCTGCTCAGCAAGCCTCTCGTATGCTCCCCACTTCAAACTGTCCCGAAACGCGGTTCGTCTACACGCCAAGTCGTCATGGACTTGAGTTTCCCGCCAGATCGTTCGGTAAACAGCGCAATTCCTTTGAACACTTACCTCGACTCCCCCTTCAAACTTCGTCTTCCCGGAATAGATCGATTGTGCGAACTCATATTATCTAAAGGCCGTGGTTGTCTCATTTACAAAAAAGATCTTCAGCGTGCTTATCGTCAGATACCGATCGACCCCAGAGATTACCACTTGTTAGGCTTCAATTTTTACAATCAATTTTATTTTGATACTCGTTGCCCCTTCGGTTTACGAACTTCAGCCATGATCTGTCAACGGACCACCAAGGCTGTCATTTACATTTTCACACAATCAGACTTTTCCGCCGATGTTTATCTAGACGATTTTTATGGAGCCGAAGTTCCCGCTCTGGCGAATACGCCTTTCGCCGCTCTACAAACTCTTTTTGACTCGTTAGGTTTGGCCTCGTCGCCTGAAAAAGACTCACCGCCCGCAGTGGAGATGGTTTGCTTAGGCATCCTCGTTAATACCGAAGACTTAACCTTACGAGTTCCTGATTCACGGCTTCGTGACCTATCTGATGAATTACAATTATGGCCGTCACGCGAGCGTTTTACGATCAAAGAGTTGCAGTCTCTGCTTGGTAAACTCTCCTTTGTGACTGCTTGTGTTCACGCGAGTCGAATTTTCTTGTCACGCTTGCTCAACGCCTTGCGGAGTTTCCCTTCACACGCTAAACATCAACCAGTCACTCTCGCAATGCGGCAAGATTTGTTGTGGTGGAACACTTTCCTTCCCCTCTTCAACGGTGTTTCGGTTCTAAAGCCTGACGAGTGGTCTTTCGCCAATTTGCGTTTCAGCACTGATGCCTGCATGGTCCGGGGGGCAACGACTTGCCTTGACAAATGCATCACGTTCGCTTTCCCGGATCCTGTTATCTCGGTGGCTACTCACATCTCAGCGTTGGAACTCTTTACTATCGTCGTTGCTGTCAAGTTCTGGGCTCCCGTCTTGCAACATCAACGGTTCATCTCATGTGATAATGAAGCCGCCGTCACCGTCATCAATCCAGGCTCCACAAGAGATCCATTCATGCAGCGTTGTTTGAGAGAGTTGTGGTTCCTCTCCGCTCTACACGACTTTGACATTCGCGCGCGGCACATTCCTGGTGAGCACAATTCGTTAGCAGACGCATTGAGCCGCTGGGATGACCCTGTGTATCAAGTTCACTTTGCTAAAACTTCTCAAGAACTCGGGATCAGTTACGTTTTCGACCAGATACCCGGAAACTTCATCTTTTTTGATGTTGATTGACCTTTTTAGCATGCATTTTCAGTTAGTTAGTCATTTATATTTTTTTTTTCGCTCGTTTTCAGGGTCTGCCATCAGTATACCAACCTCAGATGCCTTTGCTCAGCGTCTCCTTCATCTCGCCTTTGCCGATTCTACTCATCGGAACATTCAGTCTCATGTTAACGTGTATACTAGGTTTTGTCGTTCGGTAGCTTGTTCTCCGTTCCCTATCGAAATTCAATTGCTGATACGCTATGTTGCTCATCTCACTCTCCCTGGGAGATCCTTCGGCACTATTTCTAATCATTTAAGTAGTCTTAAGCACGTTAATCAGCTTTTGGGTTTTGGCAAGGTTTGGGACACGCATTATCGTTTCCAGTTAGTTTTACGAGGCGCCAAACGCTATCTCGGCGTGTCTGCCAACCGCAAGCATCCGTTCACCCCTGAAATTCTGCTTCAGGTGTTTCCGTTCTTCCAATTAGACAAGCCTTTACATGCAGCCATGTGGGCTTTGTTTCTAGTTGCCTTTTTCACCTTTTTGCGAAAATCTAATTTAGTTCCCGATGTAGCCAATCGCATTTCTTCCAAAGTTCCGTTGCGAGCCGATCTAGTTTTTGACTCGCACGGCGCCACTCTTTATATCGCGGCCTCTAAGACTATTCAGTACCAACAACGTTCTTTGTCAATTCCCTTGCCTCTCATTCCTGGTTCCCCGCTATGCCCAGTCACTGCATTAAGACATCATTTGCGTCTGAACCCCGGGCCGTCCACCGCCCCATTGTTCACTGTTGTTTGTTCCCCCTCTCAGCAGTTATCTCCACTTACCTCTCGCCATTTCTACTTTTTTATTTTCAAGGTCATTAACGCCCTTGGTTTAGTTCCGGCTCACTATTCCCCCCATAGCTTTAGGCGCGGCGGCGCTAGTTTTGCGTTCAGGTGTAATGTTCCCGCCGAACTTATCCAGCGGCAGGGGGATTGGCAAAGTGACGCCTATCTTATATATCTCGAAATGTCATCCGCTCAAAAGCGACGTGCTGTCAATTCGATGGCTTCTCATATCCTTCAGTTGTCTAGTCGTTGATGTAATATTGCTTTTTTTTTCCTATACAATAAGTAGCTCACAATTTCACAACATCTCCCACAATTCACGCCCTTTCTTTAGTTCGCACAACTTCGGTTTGGGCCTTTTTCCTTTTTTGGCGGGAGTCTATTGATTCAGTTACGACCTCTTTCGCTACCAGTGCATAGTACAGCTGTCGAATCTGACTTAATAAACTTGTGGCCCAAACCTGTCGTTGTGTGGTTATTGAGAGGGCGTGATTGTGCAATAATTACGTTAGTGATTCTTGCTAATTACGAATCGATCATGTGACATCGTTCAGCTTATCCAATAATCTCCCAGCTGCGTCTGTCGGTCAGTCATAAGCTCGTTGTCAAAGGGCAGGCACGCTAACCCAACCCTCCCGCCCACGGGAGTCTATTGATTCAGTTACGACCTCTTTCGCTACCAGTGCATAGTACAGCTGTCGAATCTGACTCAATAAACTTGTGGCCCAAACCTGTCGTTGCGTGGTTATTGAGAGGGCGTGATTCAAAAGCTATTAACGAGTCTCAGCCGTCGACAGCCAGTTGACATACGTCTTCCGGTGACAAGACCTGTTTCACATGAGCTGGTTCGTGCACTCAGTTTCACCAATTCTTCGGCATTTCAGCGTTCTCTCTTTTCGGCGCTTTTTCTTGTGGCCTTCTATGGCTTATTTCGCATAGGTGAACTTATCGCCAAGAGCAATCGATTTGCGTCTGCTGTCGTTCAGTTCGGTAACCTGACCTTTTTATCGCGCAACGGTCGTACGCACGTGGCGAAAATTACGATTTCTGAGTATAAGCATAACACAAGCCGTCGCCCGTTTGATATCTTAATTGCCCCTGAGGTATCTTCTTCCTTTTGCCCCGTTCTTGCCCTTATTCAATATTGCAAATTGCAGGGATCTTCTCCTGGCCCCCTTTTTTGTCATGCTGATCAAAGTCCAATATTAACTCACCAATTTAATGTGGAACTACAGCGTTGTTTAACTTATTGTGGGTTAGACACCAGTCGCTATAAAAGTCACAGTTTTCGGATTGGCGGCGCTTGTCATGCTGCTGATCAGGGTTACTCAGATGCGCAAATCCGTGCTCTTGGCCGCTGGAAATCTGACGCTTTTAAAGTCTACTTAAGGTCGGAGATCCTCCAAGCTAATTAACGTTTGGTGGTTCGGCACTGTAGTTCAGACAAGGGCTGCTATTGTGCTGTCATCATTTTGCCTTTATAGTTAATTTAAGTTTTTAAAGCATCTCACGCCTGTGTGGCATGCCTGTCAGTCGGTTGGACAATGGGCCGCGACTCGGTACGCATAGTCATTTGCTTCTACTTATAACATATTAGTTCATAATATTATTAGAGACCGTGTAGATACTTCTTAGGCAATCAGCCAGTTCAAGTTGGATTTTTTGTGTTGGTCAGTCAAGGGCTGCATCATAAGACGACGGTGGATGTTGTTCTCTAAAATACTAAGCTACAGGTACATGTATTTAGTCACAATGGAGATGGTCAGACCATGGGCTGCATCTCGCCGGTGGTTAGCTTTTTCCTTCTTTCCATAATAGCCTTTAATGTTCGGTGTCCACTGAGGAGCGAGCTTTATTTTGTTTTTCGTTGAATGGGGCTTCAGCCACAAAGTGTGGCTTGTGACGGTATTTTGTCGCCCCATTTGTGAACAAGACATTATATACGGAAATGTTTACTGCTGTGTCTGAATTTTGCAAATTGTTCGATTAAACCTAGCCACAATCGTGGCCAAATTTATTCCAACAAAGTGGTTTCTTATTGCTACTTCCGGGGAATTAGCTCTTAAATGGTTTCTCAACAAAGCTCGCCCCTTTTAAGTGGGTCACTTTAGATCATATTTGACATGAAAACACAGCTCGATATAAATAAGGACTTGTATGGGGAAAAAACCTATTGTTTCTGTAACCTACGAAAATGAAATGATTTCAATAAAAAAACAGCTTACCGTACTTAAAATGTGAAAAGTGCCAGAGATGTCAACAAAGAGACTCTTTTGGCACCAAATTTTACCTGTTCGATATGTCCGTCCATGAGAAGCTATAAGAGATATCTAGCCTGCGAGCAAGCACATTGTCTTTTATTAAAGCGGTGTTTTGAGTACACTGTTGCCATAACAGAGTCTCCTGTGTGGTCCACCGGATTTTTACGTAAACGGTTTTCGGCGATGCTCATATTTCAAGCTTGGGCTACCTGTGCAAGTTCCGAAAAAAAAGTCCGAGTCCAACAAAGTCACATGATATAATCACCTGGCTATATCATGGTGTAACGCAACTCTAAATGTCTGTAACATTTCTTCCCCTCCCGAATTATAGAGAAGGTGAAATTCGCATACATTTTAATTGAAATACATCCTTTTGCTTCAAGATCATAGTTCTTCGAAGTGTCCTTGTTACACATTAATCTGATAACGCTTCGCTTACACTGTAAGGGTCTTGCCATTAACCCGTACGTCCACCATTCGCACAAGGCGCCGTCAGGGCAGGGGTACGTCTGCTCGATGCGCCCAACATTCCCGGGATCAATAACAACGACAACATCTCCAACCCGCAAATTGTCATTACGGAACTACCATTTCTGTCTTAGCTTGATCCGATCTGTGATAAGTATTCTTTCATCCATATCGGTTCTACACATGTCTTGTGAGCTCTTGTACTCTTCTTCAACAAGGATAAATTCGACTCCTCAGTTGCAAATAAATCAAGTCTGCCTAGTGAACTGAAAAACGAAGCTTGATTTAATAAAGAACGTTAAGATAAGAGTGGCAGTAACCAAAATGCGGATTTCTTGCCACTTGCCGCCTATTGAATCTGGGCGCTACAAGAAGATAAACAGAGTCGAGAGGATTTGAGCCCCTTGTAACAAATCCGAAATTGATGATGAATTCCACTATTTGTTCTCATGTAAGGGGTATCTTCTTGGAGAGCCTATACTCGATAAAGAGTAATTTTACGATTATGTCTTGCAAGGCACTATTTTTATATATTATGTCTATGTGCGATGAAAACATCATAAATCTTAGTGCTTCTTATATTGAAAATATTCTAAATTGTTTTAATCCGAACTCTAATTAAACGTTCTTACCATACGAGTAGCGTAGAAGCCGTACATAGCCAAGTAATTTTTCTTTTCTGGTAATATTCAATATATAGTTGTTGTTCCTTTCTTTCTTACTTAACTTTTATTTGACTTTGTTTCATTTGTTACTGTATTGACTGTTTTGGTAATGAAATCTTCATGTCGAAGATAAAGTCAATAAAGTTGTTACTTGTTGGCGTTAAATGGCTCAATGTCGACGCTCTCCGGTACAAAATCGCCTCCCATCTGTCCAATCGGAAAGTGGTTTAGAGTAAAGACGGTGTCGTCGTCAGGGTCGTCACTCACAGCTGTTAAAGGCCTCGAATCAGTAGAATGTCTTCCCTGCCCCATGAAGATTGTCTCCAAATCCTCAGCATTAACTTCTGCATCACCGAGTGCTGCAAAAATAGCTCGCTTCGCTAACTTAATCATAGATTCAAAGACTCCACCAAAATGTGGCGCAGCAGGTTGATTCCATTTCCAACTCACTCCCTTATTGGAGGTCATCCGTTGTATTTTGTCTTGGTCCATAGCAGGGACCAGGCCTTGCAGTTCCCTCGATGCGCTTACAAACTTCGTTCCGCCATCGATCCTCTCCGCGCAGTCATTCTGACAAAGGCGTCAACAAATGCATCGATGTCCAAAGACGACACCATCTCTAAGTGGCACAAAGGGTCTTCAAACAGAGAAAAAACACAAATAAAGCTTAGCTCACACTCTTCCACGTCCTTACTTAGTTAAGAAAGGTCCTCCAAAGTCAACTGTACAGCTCTTGAAAGGTCTGGAGGTTTGCTGCAGTCTAATCTTGGGAAACGGCGCCATTTGCTGGTGAGCTGGCTTTGATCGAAATCGTCTCGCGCACTCAAAACATGGCCTCATGATGACTCTTTTCACTTGTTTGCTAACATGGACCTCTAAGTACTTCCCCCGTACATGATTAATCGTATAGTTGAGCCCCATCTGATGACCCTTTAGTTCGTGGTAGTACTTAATGATCAGTCGTGTGACGTGATTCCTCTTAGCCAGTATGACTGGACACTTACCATCGTAAGGGAGATCGTCCGCATGTCGCAGTCTGGTGTTGACTTCGAAATGCCATTAACTAATATAATACTGGATTGAACGGTGCCAATGTACTTCCTCCTTGTATTTCCTTGTTCCTTCGCTATGGCTCTATCTCTGATGGCTTCAGTTCACCCTTCTCTCTTTGCTCAGCTGGTCCCCTTTCTGTAAATCAGCGCACCCACGCTGTCACACGAACTAAAGAAAACCAATTTCCAGTTCTCCTTTCGTTTTGACTCGATACCATTTCGAGTATCTTAAGGGGTCCAATCGCCACACCTCTTCGACACTAGCCGTTTCTTCACCTTCTTCAATTATTTGGTAACTTGTAGCGTCCTGCGCTCCTGTTTCTTTTGTTTCTTTAAGTTCAAGGTTCTATGTTGAAGTTGGCTTGTCAAACTTGCACTCTGTCCAGTCTTGTTTTGAACTCTTTAGAAATTCGGGCCCATTCCACCATAACTCGGAGTGTGCTAATTCTTTTACTGTCAGGCCTCTTGTTCCAAGGTCTACGGGGACTATAGCTGTATATGCGTTCTCTGACGCGTCACTGAATATATGAATGCTCTGTTCTTCCACCTTAGGATTTTTACAAGTTCAAGGTCTTCCAATTCTCGAAACCACTCTGTCCATTCTCGCTGATGATCTGACGGCAACAGTTCATCCCAGTCCCGTGCTTCCAGCCAAGCCTTTTGCATTAACAACTTGGACCTGATTACATAAGGTGATAAGATGGGTCATAAAATGTTGCTCTTCGCCTCAAAAGATTTCTCTTGGTGAATTCAAATCCATCTAACTGTAACGAGTGTCTAAAGGAAAATCTGTCGTCTCTGGCAGCCCACAGGACACCCAGGGTCGTGGTTGTTGGCAATTCTCTTCTCTCTAAGTCTATCTCAGAAGCCCGATCTCCTTCGTCAACGTCAGCAGTTACATCCGGTTCATTCCAGATCCATTTCCGGATGTGAAAACCAACCAAGTCGCCCAATTCGGTAGGCTGCTTTTTTGTTTCTTTCTCCTCATCCACCGTAGGTGTGGATGGCATCAGATCATCCATGTGACAGTGTTCTTGAACTACATCAGCTCCCAATGGATAAGTCTCCTTGTAAAGTCTGGCATGATGTTGCCAAGAAAACGGGACACAAAACGGGCAGTAACACCAGCCAAAATAAACCTCTTGAACTCCTAAACCTTTGGTATACCCCCGCTGCCCAAGTTCCTATACAAGAATCTATCCGGTGATACCTTTGGCTCACATCGCCAGCCAAGGCAACTGGCTCCTTTGAAAACTTAACTAAAACGTCTACAATGCACCTTTGCAACTTTGCTTTAATAGATCCCGGTAGTGATTCACTTTCCAAATTCTTTCCGTTTTGCAGGGTCTTGCAGAGCTCATCCGTCGAAAAAGAGCCGAACTTTGGTTGTGGCTATCTCTGGCCTTATCACAAAGAAATGTGGAAGGAAACATTCTGATGGTGGTTTTGGCTCATCCACTAGGACTTCTTGGATATATCCTTTACGTAAGTAGTCTTCAACCACTGATTGGTAAGCCCGTGCCAGCTTCCCATCTTGCATTAACTTCTTTTCGACTCTGTGAAGTCTCTTCTCTGACATCTGGTTTGGCGGTAATTCTGGTCTTTCGTGTTTCCAAGGCACAGCAGTTTCATACCTCTCACCATCAAACCTGATTGACCCGTTCACTTTATCAAAGGCTAGTTTCTCTTCAGGGGAAATTGGTTGCTCCCCCTGCAGTGTGATCCCAGTAGCCTCAAGGTTCCAAAATTGTTTCAGCAAATAGTTCAGATCTCCATCACTACCCTCTGACCGCTGTACGCGATAGATGTTCAGGTAACCAGTGTTACTTGCTCCATATCCCTCAGACGTACCAATGGTACCAATTGCTGTCTACCTCAATGCCCACAGTCTGAAACTAGGTTCCTTGTCGCTTCCACGAACCTCTTCCATAGGAAACAGCAGGTTGTAATGATCTGAACCAATAAGAACATCGATTTTACTCCTTTTTCCAAGTTTAGGAAAAGGAATGTCACTCAAATGTTTCCACTGGTCTAACAAACATGTACAGAGGCAGCGACAAAATACTACAATTACACTGCAAATAAAGCCGATGAAGAGAGAGAACACCGACTGCCGACGCTTCAAAAAGCGATGGGGAGATCAGGCAACGCTTACAGTTTACACTAAAATTACCTTCTTCGATACAACGATAGGCAGCAACAGTTACACAGACGATCTATACAATTTACGTCAAGAATATCTTTCCAACGGAATGAGGACAGCCTGTCAGCCTTTACACCATGAGCAACAGTGGGTTTTTTACAGTGAGCTTTATTTTACAATGAAAAGTTTATAACACCGATATTGTGTGACATGTAGGGAAACGTTACATTTGTAAACAAAGCCCTTACTGAACAAAATTTTCGTTTACAATTTTTATTACATTTAATACTTCTCCAAAACCATCCCACGTAAAATTATGTATCTATGTATAGCAGCCTTACATAAACACAGCGGCTATCTTTATAACAAGGAACGGGGAATCGGGGAATGGGAATGGGAATGGGAATGGGAATGCGGAACGGGGAACGGGGAATCTTTAAGAGACGGTCCGTGTAAGAACCGACCACTCGGATTTCCGCGGGAAACAGAATTCCTTCATTTTTTTCGGCGACATAATTAGCCCATTCCATTAACAAAAATCGGATTTGTTTGGCTCAGTGCTTTTTTAAAAAATATTGGGCGGTGATTCGCCTGGACGGTCCAAAGCTGTCATGATCGTCTTTTTGAAGGTCAAATTTAAGTGTTTTGTTCAAGGCTCGCAAAAATTTCACACGTATCCAAATAGCATAAAACAAAGTATGATTTTAATTCATGCTTCCTTTATTCTAAAAAGGTAAAATATTTAAATTCTGACTTAAAAAAGGAGTTATGATGTTTTGAAAATACCACGTAAAGCGTCCTTGAAAAAAATGCGCGCTTATCCTAGTTTTGAAATGAGCTTTTTTCAAAAGTCTGACGTTATGTGGAGTCTTGGTCACTATCCCTGTTAAGCACTAGGGGTAGTGTATCGAAATCATGAAAAACATTTTTGGTCACTGTTGATTCTATCCTCGGAGACCCAGGGGCAGTCAGTCAGGCTGGGTTAAAAGGCGCGACGAAAGTTTTCAAGCATGGGCGGAAGAGCCCCTGGGTACCGACTCTCACCGGACCATTTCCAAACGGTCAAGAGAATGCTGGTTCCTGATTGGGCACAAAAAATGCTTTATTATTGCTGTAGTATTGTGCCCAATCGGCGAACAGCATCTCCTGAAATCTTTTCGTGAGTTCGTACACGACGGCTATTATCTCGCCACAGTTGCCGGGTTCGTTAAGCAAGCTTTCCTAACCAGAAACGAAGGAGCTACCGATGAGTCGAAAAACGTTTCGGATGCTATCAGCAGGAGCAATTTAATTTGCACTGAGAAAATTCTGTTTATGACGGATCACAATGGCTGTCTTTACAGTAGGCTGTTAAGTAAGACTTAAGAGCTGCCAAGTCAAGTTTACTTACCAAAGATTCTTGTGTGAAGGCCTAAGTAAAATCTCAAGTAACTTTACTTTGCATCTCATTAAAGTCGGAAAGTTGAAACGATTCAAGAAAGTTTCAAGCGACTTGAAAACCATCCTTAAAACCGACTTAATTAACTTGCGGTTACTTGAGGTTTGAGAAAGGCGAAACACGTCAATCAAGGGTAATTATGTTGCTTGGGAAAATAGCCTAAAGTTAACCTGAAGTAAAAAAGAATCGGCTGTGTGTGAAGCTTTATTTTACTTGAAGTAATTAAAATTTACTTGTCTTGAAATATTTCTTAGCTTATTTAGGCTCTGGTGTAAAGACTGCCAATGTATCGTAAATATTAGGAAGTTTAAGATGACACGGCGACGAGAAAGTAAAAAAAGCAATAGCTTGACAAGGCAAAACAACAACTTTGCAAGTGCATCACGCTTTTTTGTGTATTTCTTTGCCGTCACTGCACACCTACCACGTGAAAATGCCTAATTTCACGTTTTGTGAAGGACGTAAACAAGCAATGACAAAATTTTCTTTCTCTTTATGAACTTGGATATGGTTGATAGAAATTCAGCTCCAGAAGAGTTCGCTTGCATTTGACAAAGTAAGTGAGTTGGAATAATCACGATAGAGACTGAAAAAATGTGAGTTCACTCTTCATGCGACGTTTTCCTGGTTGTCAGCTGTCGTGACATATAAAACTCCCTAATATTTACGAAGGCGTGGTCGATGCAAGCGTGAATATCTGTCAGTTGTAAGCTCAAGCTTGTATTTTTGGAAAAGCGTCTTTAGTTTTGTGTAGACAGTGGTTGTCTTTACACTAGGCTGGTAGGTAGGACTTAAGAGCTGCTAAGTTTTACTTAACCAAAAATGCGTGTGTGAAGGCCTAAGCAAAACCTCAAGTACA